GCTCATCATCCCCCTGTATAATTACTGTCATTAACTATAATGCCCTCTCCTTGGCAATTATTGACCACTAGAAGGCCAAGTTCAACCATGACTTGGCTTTTTAATTGCCCTCTCCTCGGGTGATATATTTTGTGTTGGAGTGGAGCGAGAGACGTATTTTTGGCACGACTCCCACAACCTGTAAGTTGCTGTGACATATCGAAGCGAGCCCCGGAAACCACGTCCATTCGGTCCGCGCAATGTATCAATAACTACATTCTGGCTTTCTCATCCCCGTAAGTGTAACGAATTATCGCGGCGGAAGTATCGCATGGTCTCGTGCAAGCGTTCAGTTCCCGCGGGATTTGGCTTGATGGATTGACAGTTTGACAGCTCATCAGATATAGTCAGACCATGTGGGGGATTTTTGTGTGTATGTGTGTTCGTCCTGAGTGCGACCCTGCTGATGAACAATCGTCAGAAATACTCAGAGTGACATGAGTCCAGGACAAATTAAAAACAAACCGAAAACAAAGTTTGATTGACTGACTGTCAAAAACCCGCACACCCAAACTGACAGGCCCTCGAAGAAAACGGAAGAAACTTAAAGGTGCTCTTTCGTCCATGGATTGATAAAATTAAATGTTATAGATTTTTGCAAACCATCTTTTGAAAGTATGAGCCGCAGGAGATCCACATTATTAATGTAGTACAATCATATCGGAAAAAACGCTGTTTTTGGTTGTTTTTTTTGTTTTTTTTTAAATATTACGCAGCGGCAGTATTTGTTTTGCCCTGCCTATATATTCTAATTGATACGATCTTATCAAACCACGCGAATTCCAAACGAACTTGTCAAAACGTACTTAATTAAGGCCGGCTGTAGACAAGCAGAAAAAAAACCATAGCAGACAAGCAACCAATTAAAGATAGCAAATGCTCTATCAACGCTCTATCACATAAAGAAAGGAAACAAATTGATTGGTTGAAGTCTACATATAGAACCATGGAAACCAAACTGAAGAAAGTGGTAAGCTTGTCTTTCATACACCAGTAGAGGTCCATATGCAGCTCTTTATTCAGTCCTCATGGTATCCTGTTTTGTAGACTAACTTTCTAACCCGCTGACCAAGACCCTGTCAATGCACTTTCCCCATTATCGCTCAGCCACCGTTCCTCTCCTATAGAGCCATTTTTAGACCCTGGTGATTCACGATGTGTCCGACTACACCCAAAAAAAAATTAATGTCGAAAATGTGTGAACTGAAACCCCAGCGGGGAGTCAGTCAAAAAAAGAAGGTATTTGGACATATTTCGGCCACCCTGATTAGTCTGGAAGGTGCGAGATGGGGAAATATCCGATTGGCTTGTCACTCCTCAGCCGTAAATAGATCGAACTGGGCAGCCAGACTGGTCAAGAAAAATCGTCGATGTAAACAGCTATGGCCTTTAATAACTGTTTCACTTTCAGTTACCAACGTGTCAATAACTAGCAAGATGTTATTACCAAAACAATACCAATATTGAAGGGTGATCGAAGAGATCGACTGGCCGAGATTTGAACCTGCGACCTCTCCAAACACAGAACAGGTGTTGTACCAACTGAGCTATCAAGCCCTGTGTTGGCGGTCTTCTAAATTGTCAATGTCAGTGTTCAAGGGCGCTACCCAGAAGCAAAGAAAAAAGAGAGCAACACTCGGTGTGTTTACCTGACGAGTATGTTTGGATACCAAATAATAAAATCTTTCAGTTAATTTTAATGTCGCACTTGATAAATAAATAAAAGTGGGGTTTAACTGTAAATATTAAACCACATCCCTTCCCTAAAATACGAAGTGGGCATACGGTCCCATTTAAGTTTGCATTGGTTGCCGATTAAAGGGGACGGAACGTTCTAAAATTGTGCCTCTGGTCAGATAATATCATATCTAACCTTGCGGTTTTCCCCCAATTATATGAAGTAAATTTTTGCAGAGTGCATCGATGTCCCTGTTTTTTATCTGGAAGGAGTCCCCAAGCCTAATTACTAAAAAGGTTTTGGAAGAAACAAGGCTTTTAAGACCCTGACCTTGAAAAAAATATTGACTAGGCAGTAGGCACGTATACTTGAAGACAAACACCGTTGATGAATATAGCCGCAAACCTGACAACAGAAAAGCCGCAGACACGAAAAAACGAGAGAGAGAAGAAAAAAAAAAGACTCCCCGCTCCTTGAGCGAAACCTCGGCTACTAATTTGCCCTAATCAAAAGGAGATGTGCAACCAGCGGTCTTACATCATGACCTTCGAGGAAGAGAAACAAAAAATGACAGGACACACTCCAGAAGAAAAAAATCATTATAGCGGTAATGAATAGAGACGGGAGTGACGGGCGAAAAGTAGGGAAGTAGATATCGGGGGTAGAGTCAAGGCTGAGCCGTGGCACTCACTCTTTCTTACCCGGTGTGTCCTTGGGTCCTCCATCGCCTCTTAACTGACGTCTGTCAGCCCGCATTTCCTCCCCGAGACATCATCCTAGCAGCAGAGCTTCCTGAGACGGGATATCAGGAGAAGGTGGCGGTTATGCGCTGCATCGAGGAACACAGGACAACGCCAAGGCAGAGAGTATAGCTAAGCTGGCAAACCGAGGACCCGAGCCACGCTGCACGGGTCCCAAGGGGCCCGTCAAGCTTCATTCTGGGCAGTTGCAAAAGTGACGGCTATAATTCGCAACACTGGGATCTGTCAATTCTGAGTTTCCTGGGGTTTTTTTCTGGGGGCAACACATGAACGCTGCAGAGCCCAAGCCACGTGCTCCATCAAGTCGGCCAAGTTCAACATTTTTTTCTTCTTCTTCTATTCCCAGAGAGTTTCATATTTTAATGGACCTTGGCGCCCGGGACGGTGCGTCAAGTTTGCTTTGCTTAGACCGTGAGTAATCCACACCCATTCCAGCTGATGGATGTGTGTCAGCGAGCAGATCACAAGGACCTTGGCGGTTGTTCTTCCCTTCGCTTACATTCATTTCCTTGTTTGTACAATCAAGCGAGAAAGAAGTACCAAATAATGAATTGGCAATTTGGAATGGAGTACCCAAGCGACGGCTGCCGTTCCGCTACCCTCCGGCTTCCTCTGAAAGCACTTTTGTCCCCACCTGGACGGTATCATGTTTATCTTTTCCAATCTTGATGCCAACAAGCAAAAAGCACAAGGTTAAATTTTTACATCAGAATCATATTTCTCTGGTAATCCTATTTCCCCGATAAAAGAACTAAGTTCGCCGCGTCCGATCTCTTCAATTGATCATAATGCACCAAACGCAGTCTCTAATGCAAATCGCTGTGCCTGAAGAATTTTCAAGTCACTTAATTGGTGCAATTCCGACTCAAGACAAGTCTCGGTGTTGCTAACATTTAGTCGACCTTTTCTAGCATGAAACTTCGCGTGGTCATTGTTGGTGTCTCCAGTGCAGTGCATACTTGTTATTTGCCAACCCTAATAATTTGGACGGTATAGCGTTTTATTGCTCCATGTTTCTACCAATTTCGGAGCTTATTTTCCGCCTCAACAACCCGAAGTACCTTTCCACTCGTTTTCAGTTTTCTACTTAAGTGTGTTGTTGTTTTTAAAAACTGTTGCTCAATTACACAACCTTTTTTATTTAAATCGTTTCTAGATGCCTTCTTCGTGGTTAGCTGGCATGTCTTAAGCGGATGGGTGGTCCTCAAAGCAAACCTGCCTCGTTTCATTTTGCGAAAAGTGTTAACTCTGTCATTCTTTGGTGTCATCGTTTGGACTCGGGCTCAGTGAAAGTCCTCGTTCTGCTTCAGAAACATTAAATCTTATGCTTTGAGGCCGTAGTATTGGACCTGTCAGTCCTGTTGTCCGTTCTTTAAAACCGAGGACCTGTCATCCTGTTGTCCGTTCTTTAAAACCGAGGACATTTCATTCTGCTGTCCGTTCTTTTAACCGTGAATACCTTTCATGGTCTTGTCTATTGTTTAAACCGAGGACATGTTATTGTCTTGTCCATTCTTTAAAACCGAGGACCTGTCATCGTCTTGTTAATTCTACCGAAGACCTGTCATCCTGTTGTCCATTCCTTAAAACCGAGGACCTATCATCCTGTTAGCCATTTTTAAAGCCCCTGTCACACTTGTCCGAATCGTCACTCCGTTCATGTTCCGAGTAAAACATTGTGGATTCGGTGTTTAATCGGCTTGAACTGAACTCAAACGGATTTCCCTCGGTTTTCCTCGGTTTTCCAACGCTATATACTCGTGTACGTTCGGTGATGCACTGAGGAACTCGGAGAAATTATTGAACCTGTTTAATAATTTCTCCGAATTGTCGCGGCAACCTCAATACGGACGGTGTCCGGTATACACACGGAATATGCACGGAATGCACGGAATACATACTGTACTCATTCGTTGCCATTCGTTGCAATGCGGAATAGGTACGGAAGAGTACGGAACAGGCCTCCGATCGATAACCGTATGTATTCAGAGTTCATTCCGAACCCACACCATTGTAATGTTCGGAAAGCGGTCTTGAGATCAATGAATTTGTCAAAGTTTGGCACGTCCGGTGATGATCGGAGAGGTTCTGAATATAGACGGATTGCAATCGGAATAGCAACTTATTAGATCCGGAATAAGACCGGATTATGATCGGGGTATTTTCATTTCTGGCTGGTTTTTTGACATTTCTCTCCGAACGTGTCCGAATTAATAATATTTCAGATCGGTTTATGAACGGAATTATAGATTCGGACAAGTGTGACAGGGGCTTTAAAACCGATTAATCCTGTCAATTCTTTAAAATCGAGGACCTGTCACTTTCTTGTCCATTCTTTCAAACCTTTGCTCGATTAAAGCCGATTGTGGGATCACTGATTTACATGACATCCTTTGTGTGCGCTTTCAAACCGAGGACCTTTTGTCATTATCTTTTGACCGTTTCTTCACGTACGCAATTTCCATTGAAGTTTGAACCCTGCTTGTTGTTACACGAGATCCTCCTCTCTTTTTTTACTGCAGAATGCAACAGTCGTCGGTCAACTTACCATTCATTCGGCACCTCTGATACCACGACTTAACAACCCCGGATAACCATTCCTCAGCTTCAGCGGATGGAAATGGTTGAGAGGTTGACGCCTCGCCGACCTTGAGGATCACGGAGCGAGAGGAGTCTCCCCTTGCCTCCCTCCCCTATCTCTCCCCGGTGTCATTTGCCACCTGCGCTCGCTTGGCGCTTTTAAAGGGCCGTGCCGCTTCCCCATCCATGCTGCCAGAACCTTTGATGCACTTGCCGTAGAAAGGGCAATTCTGTCACGGGTCAGTTTCAGCACGTGACATAGGAGGTGTAAAGTTGAAGCTTTTCACACTTTACCTTCTGTTCACAGGTCTTTGTACTATTGGTCAGCTGTCAAAATATGCAATTAACGGTGGTCTTTTAATACCTTTCAGGACTTGTATATATGGTAACTATTATTTGATCAATAACCGTTGATCATTCAAACTTACTCTTTGCGATGCTCGTATGAATGTTTGACTTGCATTTATGTATGAAACAAAATCATGAACGGTTTCTGATATTTTTAATCGTCTTTTCCATGACAAGATTGGCGTGAAGATTTTGGTTTAGTTTAGTTATCGAGTTAGCTTCAACTTAACTGCAAGACAAGTGGTCGGGGTTGTCAAGCCATGTGCTCTTGCAACCACGGGGTTAGAGGTTCGAGCCTCATCTTTAAAGTTGGTGACTGCACGCATTAGCTTATTGGCGAATTGTTGTCCCATTTGCAATCGCAGGTGGGAAAGCCAAATCCACGTCAGCCTTGGCAGGACTCGAACCCGGGTCACAGGGGCGGAAGGCGAGGAAAGTACCGGCTCGCAAACCTGAAGTTCCAAGGTAATTTGAGTTTGACGCTGTACCGTGACTTACTCCCATAGCGTGACTGCGCGCTTGAATGTGAATCTAACTACCCTTTAATGTCTTAATAGTTGACTGGACTTCATCGCCTGTCATCAAGCATCGGCCGCCACTCATCTTCAGCTGAGATGAGGGGTGTAATTAAACATGAAGGAGTTCTTTTACACACGGGAGGGGAGGTTCATTAATAATTGGCGACGAGCTTGAACTTGGCAAGATTCTCCAGGGATCCTGCCAATCCTCGTATGTATACAGCAAATCGACGGGCTGTGACGCCGTACAGTTGGGCCATCTCGGCGAGGCTAGTTTCCGCTCTGGGAATCTTGGTAATAAAGTGAAGACTGTGCACTGGAAAGCTTTCTGTGAAATTTGTGAGTTGCTTCATCCAGTCGGTGCAGACATTAGGCTCCATCGCTGACAGGGGAGAGCTTAGTAATAAAGTCCCCAAACTCATCAAATACTTGTTTTCCCGGCTATATCCTTATAAGTATATTCAGCCCACGCCTTACAGTCGGCTGCCAATTCGCATTTTGCGTCATGAATTTTGCCAATTAGAATGTGTACTCGACTCTTAATACAGTAGCATACACACATTTTGACAAGCGTAGCATCTATATCTGAGTGTAATATTACTACGTTGTACTGTTGCACATAACACATATGGCTACATTTTAGGCTGGGTGTCGAGATTAAGTTTCTATAACTATAGGCCTACGTCCCTGGCCCTGTGCAGTGATATGCAAATTTATGTGGTATATTCATACATATTCAGATATTATGCAGATATATCTGATTTGTATTCATATGAAGAACATTTTCTCGTTAAAAAGGATGTAGTCTGTGAGCCAATTCCATAGACTTTAATCACGAGTCCGCCATATTTACATTGAAAGCGAGGTAAACTCTTCATTTTTGGACCTTGCGAGTAGAAATGAAAGCAATGAAATAAAAGTTCATTACAAATTGATACCAGTCTGCTCTGAGGAATAATTTAAAAATGTGTGATTATACCATAATGTTTGAAGCCGAATTTAAAAAAAAAAATGAATGTGAGGCTTGGCACGCACTCCAACCATAAAATAGTCTGGCACCATCCCACTCAACAGTTTACAATACATAAAATTAGATTCAGGGAACCCGATCGAAATGGCTTCCTCGTAAAATCTGTTAAGCAGTTTGTTATACAAACGCGTAACTGCTGAGCATGTATGAAAACTGTGTATAGACGTTATGCGTTAAGGCGGAGCTAGAGGGCAATCAGCTTGTATTGCGTGGATAGGCATAAGGAAACATGTTGTGCATTCATTGTAAAATAAGAAGGAACAGCCTCTGGGTCTGAGCTAACGCATAAGGTCTAAGAAAAAATGGAGTTAACCATTGAGACAAAGTGAAATGTGCAATATCCTGCCTGTGACAGGATAACATGATATTGCATGCACATGTTCTGAGGAGGAGCAGATATCCTTTGTAAGGCAGCCTCCTCTGAGAAGTGTGCTTAGAAGTTTAACTTTTGTGCATTCATCGTTACTGAACTGAAATGACAGTAATGGATATCTTATGCAAAGGTCTATAATGTATCCTACAGGTGTTTCATTATAATTCCGTATGGTTACACCTCTATGTTCCGACACCCCTATGTTCCGACTGCACATATTCCTATTTATAACCCTAACCCTAACCCTAACCGGGAGTAACACAATCTAGGTTGTCGGAACATAGGGGTGTCGGAACATAGAGCAGTCACCATTCCGTATTACAATGTATACAGCGGAGGTCTACATGTACTCATGTCCATACCTGTCACGTCAAAGATGGCCGCCATGCAAAGGCTCTATTGCTGCATGCTAAATGGAACTAGGGCCCAGGTCGTTTCAGTGCCTTTTCGATCTGTGAACTCCCTTTCACCACTTACCCCCAAACTGTAGCAACTGTCAATATCGTGTTTTTTTTTATTTTCCTGGCAGTGATGAATGAATCATTTACATCAGAAGTCGACAGGTCGATCATCTTCACAGCATTTCCCGAGCATATGAAAGCAATATAAAATACCTATACCCCCCCCCCAGCCTTCAATCCATTGACATATTAATAATACTCGCCCACGCCATCACTCACTCTATGAAGCATAGATTTTTATACTCTTTCTCCCTTTTTCTTCTTGTCCTGACTCTGTCCGTCCATTAGACGAGCCGACTCCATCTCTACGCATTAAGTTTGCTCCAGGGAGCTCCGAATTCATTTTACCCCCTCCTTAAACCCTTCCCCCATCCACTGGACTTTTCAGCTGAGTGCTTCCTGTATACTGGGAACATCCCACCCCCCGTACGATGTCCGATGGACGCATCCATGCAAGATGTAAAAAAAGAAGAAGAAGAAACTCCGACCGGTCGACTACGGCCGGGCTGACTTGATTGCTCTGATGGGGCTCAGTCTCGCTCGCCTGGCGACTGTTTCTGTCCGTAACTCGCTGACCGTGTAAACCCCGTAATCACTGACCATAGTTTTCGAAATGAATTAAGTGCCCCGGGCGTTGTTTTGGTGAGCGGAAGAGATAATCCTGTTCTTCGCGCAGTCAACTTGAGGGTTGCTTACAAGTAAAGCGAGTGAGGTCTTCCAGGGAATTGATGTAATTATAGTCAGGTGTATAATGGTCTGGTACCTGTAGTTGTGCACGATTGACCTCTCTCTTGTGACGATTTTAGTTTGCTGTGAGGGGTCTTAAGTTGACAGTTAACATATCAGTCTTGCAATCTTCTGAAATTTCATATTTGCCAGATCTGATCAGCGAAACGAAACGATAAAATTCACCTTTTGCACTTGCTCAGTGAAAACCCAGTCATAGGCCTAATTGAGCCATTTTTGGAGTTTAGAAATGATTGAGTGTTGTGTGAACTTTTTTCCATACAGGTTCTTTTTTTTCTAACCAAACATAAAGCATGTCTTCCTTTTGGTTATTTTCAATACTTCCTCGCTTCCTGACAGCACGCGTGTGTTTTCTGATTGGAGGAAGCTCCACCAATAACGTCTTCTCAACCATCAATCTTGAGAGTATAAATGTGTCGGAACATTTGATTGGCCCATTGAGATAATTTTCATGTGTATTATTTCAACATGGCTATTCCCTTCGTGAGCAAGCACAATGTTATCTTCCATTACATTTTTTTTTTTAATGAACAAGCTCCACAGGAGAAACCCTCGAAAAAAGAAACTTGTTGACATAAGTATACCATGGTTTTGCAATTTATGAGCTTGTTGGCTTGATAATATTTTAGCATTGTGCTAATATGGTTTTATTGACACCGCTTGTTTGCAGTGTGGCCAATGTACTTTTTTTCGCTTTTGAATGCCGAATAGGAACTACTCACAAAACTTGTTTACTGCCGGGCCTGTCGGATATGCACTTATCTCAATAATAAAGCCTTACACCAATACGGGCCCCCCGGCAGATGGTTACCAATAAATCATTCAATATTATGCCGATGTCGCGGCCATTGAAAACGCTCATCTGTCTGCCACACAACCGTGGCCGTTTCATTCAAGCTGTCAAAAATGGCGCATCCCTGTCGCCACACTGTCATAGTTGACCGGCGCAGCCAGCCTTTCATAGCAACGCGCAGGGGTCACCACGCATGACCGATTGCGCCTCCCACACACCCGTCCCCAGAGTTTCGAGCCGCTCTGACGCACAGTCGCAATTGAAAGCCTTGTTTTGTTGGGTGTGCTGCCTGCCAAAAGTGACTAAACTTTACACGCCTAGCCGATCAAAGACGACCGGCCTATGAGCCCACTAATCCCTCCCGCACGCCTAGCAGCAGTTATGAGTGGAATGAAGCTTTTTCTTTTTTCACCCATCTATTTTGAAACCGGGCACAAAAGAATCTGTCATCGCAAAACCAGTGAAATTTATTGGTCGGCGTTGTTGTTCGCCGTAATTATTTCCTGTGAGTGTACTTTTTTGAAGCCAGCCCCAGGCAGTTTCTATCCATAATCAGTTTTTGACAGAATTATATTTTCCCCAAAAAGGCAAGGTTGTCGTGATTGTCCGTTGCGGTCCCGTCTGTATTGTTATGATTAGAGATAATGGTTTCTTTTCACTCTTTGGTAAGAATAGAATATAAGTGTAATTTGTTTTCCGTGAAGTCCAAAGTACATCGGCCCTACATCCGCTGTTTTATCACACAACCTATGCACATGGTCCTGATACGCACATGTGTTTTCCACGCAAAATCGGATAAGGGTTGAAAATTCAAACCGAAAAGGACTGCAAGATTGAAGACGACCTCAGCATGTCATAACATAATTAGGATTTCTATAGAGCGCCTCGCATGCAATTCACCACCTTAGTCCAACCTCCGTGTCGCAAGGCAGTTTGTGATCAGTGTACCTTCTGTAATCGTAATGCAATTACTGTGGAACGAGATCGTTGCCTTTGCTGCAGATACTTGATCGCAGAGACAAAAATTCAAGAACTGGAAGTGAATACTTCAGTTACAGTTGCTAGCAATTACAGTTAAATTTATTCTCTACATTTGCCATGAAACAAGGAACCAACCATGTGTTATAATACCCGTTGCACACTGCATGTTTGCTTTGTCCTGCAATCTGCCGTCTTTCATGAGCAACCTCGACATTCTAAAGCATCTATTTTTGACATTTTCCTTCCTTTTTTAAAGCCTTAAACTGGAGTGATATTCAGCCTCGAAATAGGGAAATTTCCATAAAGATAAATCATGTCTCCTCTTGTCCTGTGTAGCCTGTGTTTCGGTTGGATTTATTCATACTCACAAAAGAGATTTATTCACATGGTGCTACCGCAAACTTATCTTGTCTTATTCAATGTTTGCAATCTCCAGAATCAAAAATCGAGAAATTCTTAGACTATTTGAAATGCCCCATGCTCATTAGGCTTCACAACAACTGTTTCCGATCTTAGCGGTTTCCCATCCGATTCTGTTCATCAACCGATATGAGTTTAGTAAAGAGGTTGTGAAAAGAAGTATGTTTCTGTAACACCATTTCAGTTAGTCGTGCTAATGGATTGGGTGTGCCAATGGTCCGAGTACCTGTTCAATCCAAAGCTAATACATGTACCTCTTCACAGTCACGAGACGGACCGGGCACCAGCGAGCCTGCAGGTATACCAGCCACCAAGAGGCTCCAGTCCATTCAATCGATTAACACCATCGGGTATGGGACCAGCGAGCTTCCATCTTCATCGATTTTCGGCGGGCTTTATGCAAATGTGTAATGTACACCCATTGCCGGAAGGACAAACCTATATCTATATTGCCATACCATTAGCCACACGGCGTGTATATCAGTCAGCCAGTTTGCAGTTTAATATGAAATTTCAAT